GTTATAAGCTCACAGCTCGATTGGCGTAGAGCACGATCCCACGCATTGTCTCTGACGGTGGGAGGACACCTCCGCATGTTCAATGGTTTGCTACTGCCCGCCTCAAACCAGACAGCCCCTGGTCAAATTGGTGCAAACCCGCCAAAACCCACCTGCGTCTGGCCGTGGTCGCAGGTGCGTATCCTACAACGGTCGCAAAACATATATAAATCGTTCTAGTAGCTCAAAGGGCTGCGTGTGACGGCCGCCAAGCAGATCTCAATCTATCTCTCCAATAACATTCCCGAGCTAGAACTGCTCCCGCACCAACTTGTGGGTCAGGCTATGGATCCAAAGGCTCCCGGCGGAGTCCCTCAAGCAAACTTCCAAACGACCAACTGCCTTGTGGGTTAGGCTATTGAGCCAAAGGCTCCGGGTGGAGTCCCTCAAGCAAACTTCCAAAGCAAAACGACCACCTCGCGTGCGATTGCCCACCATGCAATCGTATGCCTGCGCGCAAAGCACAGCATCGGGTGATGGAACGTGCGGACACTACTGGACCGGAACTCCAGCGAGTGCCCCGAGCGACGCACTGCACTCGTCGCGATGGAACTGGCACGTTGCCGCATCGATATTGCGGCGCTTAGTGAAACTCGGCTCGCTGAGCAAGGTAAGTTGCATGAAGCAGGTGCTGGCTACGTATTCTACTGGGTGGGCAACGCCGCCTCAGCACCACGTGATCATGGGGTCGGATTTGCAATATCCGATCGCCTCCATGGCCAGCTGGTGGGTGAACCAACAGGCACCAGCGCGCGACTGATTGTTCGCCTACGACACGGAAGAGATAGGTTTCGAAACTTTTATAAGCACGTAGATTCGACCAGGTGTTATCCTGATGACACGCGTGATCAACTCTACAATCAGCTATCCTCTGTGATACGGTCGGTGCCGAGGAGCGACCGACTATTTCTGCTGGATGATTCCAAAGCGCGTGTTGGGCGTGATGCATCGGTGTGGACAGCTGTTATCGGTCCGCATGGCATTGGTTCAGCGAATGCGAACGGTGACAGGCTGCTCTCACTGTGTGCCACTCACGGCCTGACGATCACGAACACTCGGTTTGCACTGAGTGCGAGTGATATAGCAACTTGGACTCACCCACGGAGTGGTCACGCTCACCTGCTCGACTATGTCATCGTACGTCAGCGTGATATGCGTGAAGTGCGCATGACACGTGTACTTGCTGGAGCTGAGTGTGGCACTGATCACAAGTTGGTTCGGACCAAACTGTACATATATTTTCGTAAATCTATGTATTGCACTCCCGCCGTGAATCGGCGGAAATTTAACATTCCCTACCTCGGTACTGTGGCGAAACGTATTGAGCTGGAGATGGCGATGGCTGCACGCCCATGTGATGATGTGGACTGCATAGCCACAGTGGGCGACCTGTGACACCACATTCGCGACCAGGTAACAGCTGCTGCCGAGGAGACCATCGGGCGCGCAAACTGTAAGCGGCCTGATTGGTTTGATGGCAACAATGCGACGATTGGCCCATTGGTGTCGGAGAAGAATGCAGCATTTGCTGCACATGTGGCAGACCCCAGTGACTTGGAGCAGAGTAGTCAGTTTCGCAAACTTCGACGGCGACTGACCCGAGAGCTCCGTCGCATTAAAAATGCATGGTGGACGGTGAAGGCGAAGCATATGGGATGCTACGCTGAACGCCGCCAACACAAGGAATTCTTTGACTCCTTGAAGGCGGTGTATGGACCGAGATTGGAGCCGCTGAGGACACTGATTGATGGTAGTTCAGGCGCTACCTGCACCCAGACTGCAGACATAATGCAGATCTGGCGGAAACACTTTGACTGTCTCGTGAACAACCGTTCAGAGATCGACTGGCCTACATTGAACGGCCTGAAGCAGCACGATGTGAAGGCGGATCTGGCGGAGACGCCGACACTGGATGAGACGCAGACAACCCTTGCTCAGCTGCGAAACGGAAAGTGTGTCGATGCCGACGGGATCCCGCCTGAAGTATTGAAACACGGCGGACCCGCGTGGGTTACTGCGCTGCACCGCTTGATGCAACGTGTATGGATTGAGGAGGAGGTGCCTCCTGATCTGAAGGATGCCATTGTGCTACCACTGTACAAGGGCGAAGGTAGCAAGCAATGTTGCACAAATTATCGTGGCATCAACTTGCTGAGTTGTGTGGGCAAGGTGATTGCCCGAATCCTGCTCAACCGTCCCGTCAGTCAGGTTATGGAACTTAACGTGGCGGAAGAGCAGTGTGGATTCCGCTCGGGTCGCAGCACTATAGATATGGTGTTTGCGGCTCGTCAGTTGCAGGAGAAGTGCAACCATTGCAGTCGCTTTTCGTTGATTTCTCCAAGGCATTTGATACGGTGAACCGCAAGGCATTGTGGTTAGTGTTGGGTAAGTTTGGTTGCCCGCGTAAGTTTGTAAGTTTAATTGGATGTCTGCACAGCGGTATGCTAGCGAGGGTGCAGCTGAGTGGAGAGACCTCGGATGACTTTGCAGTTGTCACTAGTGTGAAGCAAGGCTGTGTCTTAGCTCCTGCCCTGTTTAATATATATCTTCATGCAATGATGTCTTGTGCTTTGGTGCCGCTTCTTCTTACGGTGTTCGTGTGGAGCACCTTATTGATGGTGGGCTACTGAACATCCATCGTTTCGGTTCGAGAACTCTAGTCTGTGAGACAACTATCCGTATGTTGCTGTTTGCTGACGACTGTGCGTTGTTTGCACACAGCGCGGATGAGTTGCAACACATGATTAGTGCTCTGGCTTCGACAGCGGCCAAATTCGGGCTCACCATCAACACAAGCAAAACTGTCTGTCTCTTTCAGCCTTCACCGCAGTTGCAATCTTCAATATTGCCGCGAATCAGCATTGGTGCTGAAGTATTGGAAACCACCTCCCGCTTCTGCCACCTTGGGAGTGTGGTGTCGACTGATCAGCGGGTACACAGTGAGCTGCGTATTCGCGTGTCGAAGGCAGCGGCGGCATTCGGGAAGCTTGAGTATCGACTGTAGAACAACCATCAGCTTACTATTGGCACGAAGCTGATGGTGTACAAATCCATTGTGCTGTCCGTTCTTCTATACAGCAACGGAACGTGGACGATGTACCGGCGGGATGTGCGATATCTCGAGCGGTTCCATCAGCAGTGCTTGCGACGGACTTTGCGCATCGGTTGGGCAGACAGAGTTTCTGACACGGAAGTGTTGCCACAGTGGGATGTACGCAGTGGACTGCATCCTTTTGCTGAGACACCTGAGGTGGCTCGGTCATGTGAGCCGTATGGATTCGACACGGATACCGAAACAACTCTTATATGGTCAGCTGAATATTGGAAAGCGGCATGTGGTGAAACCAAAATTACGTTACCAGGACATGATCAAAGTGAGCCTCTCACGTTCTAATCTTGATTGCAAGTCATGGGAATCGAAGGCGGTTGATCGGCGTGCATGGCACGATCTAATTACGAAGGCAGTTTCCGAAGTGCGGGAGAAAGACCTCATGCATGCGGAGAAGAAGCGGCAAGTGCGGAAGCGGCAAGCACCGATGGGTTGTACTCCATCGACATCGAACGCATGGTGTTGTAGCACATGCGGTCGCGAGCGCCTGACTGAGGCAGGCTTAGTGAGCCATGAGCAAGGCCACTCTGGAGCACTACCGAAGCGAGGACGGGTCCTGCAGAGAACGTAGGCAGAACCGGCGCAGCTTTTGTAGGTACGCTGCATCCAATTTACTAACAGCGTGCTTGCATGCTAAGTCCCTTTAGTTCAGGTGGTGGGTTTTCAGTTTTATCCTGTTTTTCTTTCTCAAATAAATGTCCACCTGTACGCTCTTCTATAAACCTGCACAACTCGCTTAAGCCAATTGCAGTTAAGTTCGATAACATTTTCGTGTTTGTGTCATTTCCGTAAAATATACCTTCCGACCCCTTGAACTTATCTCGGATCCTTTGTTAACAACTTATTCATTTGCTCATTAATTTAAGATTTCTGGCAAGTTTCCTTATGCAGTACTCGATTTATTTTCTTTGTTAGCTTTCTCTCAAGTGAATGGCTGTTACTTGATATCCCCGGTGTGACTGCGCTTGATGTAATAATAACAGTTGGTCGTTGCTGGAGGGGACGGGGTGCACGGTTTTTGTGGCCAGGTTGGGATCAAAGTGTGGTCCCATGCACTCAGCGTGGAGCGGACTACGGTCCAGCCCCCGCCCTGTGTGCGCTTGATTCCCAAATACAGCGTGTCTGTGTTTGCCTGTGAAGGAGTGTGGGCCGGCTCCGTTGATGAAACGTGGCTCACAACCACATGCCTCCCGGTCTTATTCCTTCGAGGTTACACTGAACATGGGGTGTGGTTGGAGTTGTGGGTGGTGCAGCGCAAGCCATTCATGGCGCAGGGGCAGGCGCAGGCGTCCTGTGGCTGGCCACAGTGACAAGCAAATCCGAAACCAGATGCCGCCAAACATTATATATATATATATATATATATATATATATATATATATATATATATATATATATATATATATATATATATGTAAACTGAGTGAGTTCCGTCTGCTGGTCGGTCTGATAATGCTGGAATTGAAACGCCTGATATACTACGACGTCCCTGAGTCAATAAACGTTTAGAGTATTGCCTGAGCACATCTTAGAATGTCATGTGATTTCAATCTCCAGTTACCCTTGGAAAAATGAGATATATGCCGTGAGAGAAAGGGAAAGACGGGGAACATCTGCGATGGGGTTTTATGAGAGGAGGCTCTCCAGCTATTTATTAAAAAGAATACACTTTAGTAGAGAGTATTTTGGCTCATCTTTGATTTGATAAGATGGGCTGAGAGAAAATAGGATAGTTCAGTGAGCATTTTAATGGAAAAATCCAGATGAAAACGAGGTCGAATCAGCCAAACTTTCAACGGTGAAGCACGTAGATAAATAAAGGTACAAGTCAACTGCAATAATGAAAACTTACCTAATTCTCCCTGCCTCAATTCACCAAGATTGGCTCCGTTATCACGGATAAATTCAGGAGCGAGCGAGTTCCGTGGAGTAGTTCCGGTCATAGAATTACTGTCATTTGTAGCTAAAATTTCACCAGGACGCATCCATGCAATATGGCAAGGAGGTCTTTGACTATAGTACAAACTTGACTCGTCCGCAGGAAACGACGTGTCGCAATAAAGTCGACCAGATCGTAATATTTCTGTGCGCAGCTTTTCAAAAGAAGCCGACGGTCCACCAGTCGGAAGTAAATTGATGTTACGATCATTCATTAACATCGGACTCGGACATGCTCCTTTAAAGACAGAGCAGCGTAAGATCGGTAAAGCATTGACAGGAGTGATAAGGACTACGAAATAAAACTAAAAGCGGCAATAGCCAATAGAAAGACAACTATGCAATAAATCAAAGAGGTACACGGACAAAGAGCGATACGCCAATTGTTTCGATATCTGTTCAACTCTCATCTAGTTTCTGCTCTGGAATAAGTCGTGCAATTAGTTAAACAAAATGTGCGAAACATTGAAATAGCTGTGATAAAATAGCGCAAAACAAGCAAGCAAACTAGGAATATTGATACGAACGATGAGTTTAAGAGAAACGTTGCATCATACAATATAGTCAAACTAGTCATAATCACAAAGCAGTGAATTAATGAACTAGTTGATCAAGAGGAAAACCTACATTTAAAAGTACTGTCATGACGAAACTGTAACTTAACGCAATGCCATGGTTTGCGTACCTCATCAACCCCTTGATACGTACTGGGCAGCGTCCTCGGTTCCCTTAGGAGCTCATAATCATTCTACAGCTTAGCTTGGTGTGAAGTACCCAAATTGCTGCGATACACTTCAATAAAAGAGCAACAAAAAGGAATAAAAACGAAAAAAATAAGAGCAAAAGCGAAACAAAAATAGTATTATGTTTCGATTTACATTGTGCATTGACAAAAAGATCGTTACTGGAGGGGGTAGGTAGGAAAGTGGAGGGACAAAGAAACTCATAACATGGTCGATCCTTCGCCATGTTTCGTGTCCAATAAACGAGTTTATCGTTTGTGTGACGCCAACGGAGGGCCATCAATGCTCGTGACTAAATTACTAGTAAGCCTCCCATTTCTTCCATTTAAACTCCGTTAGCGCAAACAACGCACGTTGTGGAAGTCGGTGTATTGGCATGTCTGGCACCTGGCCCAACCGTCGGAGCCTAGTGCATGAAAGAGTGATGCTGCGTGGTTCATTTCCCCTTTCTGCGCAATAAACAATACGCCGAACACGCTCACTGCTCACGTGGTGTTCCCGCCAGATGTGAGCTAAAGTGCGAAGGCACCGGCGGTCGATGGGTCAGGTTTCACAACCGTATAACAGGAAGAAACGGACGGCTGCATTGCTAACCCTGCTCTTCAGTGGTTGGAACTAGGATGGCGTCTATTTAAGCAAAGTCGGATGGTTAGTATCTTCTGGGTCCTTGGCGGTCAAGCTGTGGAGCCAATATAATCGAAAATATTTTATAAGTGGCATGACGCCCAGACTGCTCCGGACGGCGTGTAAGAAGTTAATCCTAAAGATACAAATAAACCGGCAGCAAAAGATACACAACGAAGTGCAGCGTAAAGTATGGAGGACACTGGGTTGTCCTACCTAGTCCAACTAACTTACCAGCTTGAAGTGCTCCGAAAGAATATTCAGATATGTCCTCACACTAGCTGCAAAAGTTGCTGACGAAGCTGCATAGTCGTCAGAAGAATGATACAAGTCCAAACCACATATCACATCCGCAAAACCGTGACATCGGAATAAGCTTAAAGTAGCAAACAGAACAAAGGTCTAGAATTCCAGAAGCATTGTAAGTGGATCAATCATAGATTCGAAGTAAAAGGCTTCTCTAGAACCCGAGATACAAACTCGGAGAATCAGAGTGCAATGGTAAACTTCTTAACGTCTTGGCGGTAGTAACGCAAACCAGTGAAAGCAAAGTAACTTAAAAATAAACCTAAAAGAACCCGGCTAATGGTAGTGTCACAGCTACTGATGAAATTGTGAGATGGGAGCAAATATTGGCATTGTACAGACAGCAAGTGGCCGAAGGCATGAGGTCTTGTTTATAACTCTTGCACGAGAATGCGTGAGTACGAATGGTCTCGTAATATGCCTATCCAAAGCGGGACTGGTTGTGGTCCCTTGACAGCGAAGCTTAAGTACGGCATACCGGCGTTATGCTAATAAGTTGCGTTACCAATGCGTTATCAAGACGTAAATTGGAAACGCAAGATGCGCGCGAGTATGAGAAACCAGATTTTCACTAAAAGCTTAGTAGCGCACAGATGTCAGATGAATATTTGTACAACATCCCTTGCGTCGGTGGAGGTAGGGTGTTGATAAAACGATGTAAGAAATAAGGATGGCAAGGTAAAGGTTGGGCGTTGGCCGTAATGACAGTTGTAGGAGCAGTTCTCGTTGTCAGAGTTGTTAGTTATATGCTTGGCTGCATCCGGGTCCGGATTTGCTTGTCACTATTTTTTCAGAACTGTCCTTCACGGAAAGCGTTTATTCGGCAAAGACAGCTAAGCGAAAATTACAGCATATTTAGCAAGCCAAACTCCTCGATATAAATTTCAGGTTCAAGTCCATAACTAACGACCCTTCTGAGTCGATGAGATTCCTCCTTTGCTTCAGGTAAATAAACGGTAAATCACTCCCATGAATATCGTCCAATCCGAGTCTAGTAATCGAAGCCGTCATGTCCTCTTCCCATTGGTTGTTTGGCTCGCTCGGTTGGTCCATCTGCTCACTCTGATCTGATACTACCATCACATCCTCCCTTTTTCGTGTTCATGCGCCTCCATATTGCTATCAATCACGTCCACCTTGCCACTCCGCATCGTCTTCGCTGTATCTGCGGCCGTGGTCTTCATGCCCCACGCCATCTGCCACTCCACTCCCAATCCACATTGTTGTCTCCGGTGTCGTCTCAAATGCACTCGATTTCTTCTGAACGTTTCCCTCCAACATTTATTTCGCATGATCTGGCACTGACCCTCGCAGTAACCACACCTCTCTTCCACTGCTTTTGACTATCGGGTAATGGGTGAACCCACACTTCCTCTCCCACTGTTAGCTCAGACAGTACTCGTACACCGCGGTCATAGTACCGTTTCTGAGTGGTCACTTCGTCGTCGCAGATTGTTCCGTACTCGTTCGTGTGGTGGTGAAACTGAGCGCAAGTGTCAGACACGGCGTCAGCGTTCTAATCCTTCAGCTGTATAGGCGCTACAAAGGCCTCAAAGCGATATTCCTTGGAAATATGTTGTGATTCTCCAGCCGCATGAGGTACGGGTCCTCGCCAATTGCTCCAGCCCCTGATAACAATTGCTTGGCCTGCTTCCCTGCCGACTCCGCCTTTCCATTCGATTGACTGTGATATGGGCTGGTGCACGAATTCCTACTTAGTTGCGAACGCCTGGAACGCACCGTTGGTAAACTAGGGTCCATTGTCGGAGACTAGCTCCTCCGGTAAACCGTGTCGAGCGAACTGACTTCTGAGCTTGTTGACTACTGCCTCTGTGGTCGTAGTGGTAAGTAGATCGGTTTCAAAATAATCACTATAGTAATCCACCGTAAGTGATCTTTTCCGTTATCACTGAATAAATCCACAGCCACCTTCTGCCACGGTCAACCAGGGACATCATGCGGCTACATCGGTTCCCTCGTCTGCCGGATTTCGTGTGAACGGCACAATTCGTCACAGGCCCTTTGAGTTGACCTGTCATTCCTGGCCAACAGACCAATTCTCTTGCTCGGTTAATGGTATAGTTGGCACTAAGGTGAGCGCGATGAACGTATTTCTGCATTTCTCTACGCAGCGATGAAGGAATCAGAATACGGCTTCCTTTGAACAGCAAACTAACATAAACAGAGAGTTCATCCCGAAAAATGAAACAGGTGTTAATTCCTTCAGTAGCCGCTTCTGTCTTTGACCACCCATTTAGAATAACGTCTCGCAAAGCTGAAAGCGTTGCATCTTCCTCTGTATGTCGAATATTTCCTTTAGGCGATCTTCCGTCACTGCCAGGTGCTGTACTAAGTTTACTGCTTCGACCTCTTCTGGATTATGCTCGGGTACCGGCAGATGAGCTCTTGACAGTGTATCCGCGATGAAAAGCTGTTCACCAGGCGTATATACAATATCCACGTCGTACTTTTGAAGCCGGATAAGCATACGCTGAAGGCGACGAGGAACGACGTGCAGCGGTTTCCTGGCTGTCGACATAAGCGAATTGTGGTCGGTATAAAAGGTTGTTTTTCTTCCGAAAGTATAGTGGTTGAAACGCTTCACAGCATAGACTACCACAATCATCTTCTTCTCTAACTGCGCATAGTACTGCCTGGTCATGCTGAGTGCTAGGCTGCGGAAATCTAACGGTTTTCCATTCTGTAAGAGAACAGCACTTATTCCGTCTTGGATACTGTCACACCGTACCTACAAAGGCTGCGCTGAATCGTAATACTCGAGTACAGGCGCGTCGCTGATGAGGTGCTTAATACTTTCGAGTGAAGTTTCCTGTCCTTTTCCCAACTCCACTGTACTCCATTGTGAGCTAATTTCCTGATCGGCATCATGATATCAACGAGTCTTGGCATAAAAGGCTTCCAGTAATTCACCATACCGTTTAAGCGATTGATTCCCTTCACGTCATTAGAAGACAGCATCTCACAAATTGCCATAAATTTTCCAGGACCGACCCTGACCTCTTGGGTTGTTAGCAAATGCCCATGGAAAATCACCTCGTCTTTCCGAAGTACAATTTTTCACGTTTAAGCTTGATGTGCATTGCAGAGAATGCTGTAAGAATCAAGAGATTAGGGTGATGCTCTTTTTCTGTCCAGCCATAAATCAAAACATCGTATGCCACGCATGTTAAACCATCTCACAACTTGAACAGGCAGATAGTTTCGTCTAACTTGGGAGCTGTGTTTCTGCTGACGGCGCTGAATACTGAATACTGTATTATAGAGCAAGTAGAAATGAGTTCTGTACAACTCGAAATATGGTGAAAAACATTATAAAAGTTGTCAACCGTGAATATCGTTGTCGTTCTCATGTAACATTTAAAATATCTGACTAACGACATTTCAGGACTCACAAATGTGATATGTCATCGTAAAAGTGCAGTCGTTCTCTGAATCGAATAGTGGCACTAGGAGCAAAGAAGTTTCTCTTCATATCGCTAAAGCTCGATCAGCATTTGCCAATCTGAGGCACTTGTGGCGTCGTCGCGACGTCTCATTCTCACTAAAGGGCCGCGTTTACAGCGCATCAGTTCACTCAGCATTGTTGTACGGGCGCGCGTCACAACCGATTCGCGTGGAAGACATGCGTCGTCGTTATGCCTTCGATAACGGTTGCTTAAGGAGGATCGCTCGTGTTTGGTGACAACATCGAGTTAATAGTAATGATGTTTGACGATGTACCTTGGGGAATGCGAGTAGTCCCTTCAACAAACTGGTTTTGTTGCGCCAGTTGAGATGGCTCGGTCACGTCCTACGCATGGCACCTGAGTGTCTACCGCGTCGCGCTCTATTCGCTCGTCAAGGACCTGGCTGGAGGCGACCGCGTGGTGGTCAGCCTTCCACTTGGCGGCAGCACAGGAAATCGCTGACGCCGTGCCTAGCCGCTGTTGGATCCGTAGGTCTTCCAGGATGGGGACCCAAAGGTGAGAAATGCCAATTGATTAGCACTCTTGAAGACATGGCCCGCACCACTATTACATCATCTAAATCGTCTACCGCTTATACCAATCGCTTTCGAAAAATTTCACTCCACACCTACAAGCCGAAAGGTATACGTAGCCAACGATAACGCCCGAACGGTGTTGCAAAGGTAGTAAGGTAACTGGATTCATCACCTAAAACTATGTGCCAGAATGTCGAAGTGGTCTACCTTCGTGAAACACTAAGCTTTGGGCAAACGCGACAAAATAGCTTCTAAGGTAGGTAACATGTAATACTCACTATGCAACGCCTCATTCAACGGTTTTGGGTTAATACACAAGCGCAGTTCGCTCATCTTTTTCGTAATGATTGCGACCTGACTAACCCAGTCAGTTGGCTCGTCGATTTTGGCAATCACATCCTCTCTCACTAATTTTCTCAATTCAGCGGAGAACCTGCCACATAGTGCAAATGGAACTCTCCTAACTGGTAGCGCTGTCGGTCGTTGCAAAGGATGTAAGGACAAGTGAGCGGTTCCCAAACCTGGGCTAAACACGGATACTGGTCAATAATATCGGTTTCTTCTTGCCAAACGTATAAACAGTCAGGATTAAAAACAACAAACCGAGAGAATGGATCGAGTCAATACCAGGAATCGGCGTGAGCTCCTCCTTCATGATCACAAACTCCAGTCGATGAGGCTCCATCTCTTGGGTAGCTGAGACCTTCGGGTAAAGTTTGGAACCATTCCACATACGCAGCCAATCTTGATCGGATCGAATGCACACTCCGGGATAGTGCTTCCTTGGTAGAATGTTGGCAGTAGTACCTGTGTCTAACTGGAATCGTACGGCTTTGCCTTCGATCAAAAGACTTGCGTAGACGCATTTTGCGGTACCCTCCGAGACACATCGTCAACTGAAGGTTCTGCATCTGCGGAAGACTTGGTACGAACGACGGCACTCACACTGGTGGATTGACAGCAACGAGCAGTGGTTCCTTCTACTACATCTGGCGCATTTCCGTCCCCACGCTGGGCACTGTTGGCGGGTGCTCGGATATCGCGTGGCGCAAAATTTGCAGATCTGT